ATATATTATTATTGCTTGCTACTGTATAACTGTATAATTGGAAAGATGAGTGATTGGCTAGATTTAATTTATATAATGATCTGCATTATTTACTTGTTTACATTTTTTTAACCAATCAAATCGAATGTCCGCCATGCTGTAATAGCGGAAATCAAACAGTTCCTAAATCATTAAATTGTGTTAAATAAATAAATACCTTATTGAAATCGATAATTTAATGTGCTACTTTATACTTTATCGTTATTATACCTATATAATATGTAATATATACTTTTTTATAGTAACAATTTTGTATATACAGTTTTTATTACTGAATATAGCTGGACTAAATTAAGCTGGATTGGACTGACTAAATTGGATAGAATTGAACATTGTTCAATTATTTAAAACTGAATGAGCCAAAGCGATTCATAGATGTTTGTAATTTGCCGTTTAACAAAAATCGTGAAGAAAACCCATATAAGCAAATAAAAATGTGCATAGAAAAAAATTCATGCTATGTTGTGTATTAAAAAGACGGATAGATACATATAGAATTTAAAAAAGTAGTATTTACTCATATCAAACCCGAACACATTATTATGCCTTTTACTACAGTATATAGTAAATACATAAATTTATTGAACTACATACAGTATTGAAATATAATAAAAAATTATTATGATTACTAATGCCAATAGTTATATCGATCTTAATTAGTTGCTCTGAATCGTTCACTATTTCATTTCATTGCACTCATCATAATTACAGAATTAAAAAGTCGGATTGTCACGAGATCACAGATTTTAAAAGGATATTTGATGTTAGTTATCTCTCTAAATCACATCTGTATCTGCAATCATCTTTTAATATTTAATCCTTATATTGATCAAATCATTTATGATCGATGTTTTAAATCGAAATGTTAACGTTAAACGACTTTTAACTTGATTTATTAATGTACATAATTTATATTATTTAAAATACGAAAAGTATAAATGAAAATTTTTTTAAAATTAACATAAAAATATTGTATTTATCCTTTCATATTGCCCTCTTATCATTTTATATTTTATTATTTATTTCTTTGGACAGTTCTTTGAATGCAATTTATGTATTTGTATCAGGACAGCATATTCTTTTGGATAGCATACAACCATACAACCAGCACAAATCCATCATCGCTATCATTATGTAACAAACGATAAAACACTGCATTGTCACAATCATTTGTTATCTGATAAGTCGACAATTCAAGCAATACCACAATCACATCGTCATATAACACACGATCATTATCACCACATCACACATATTCACGACCTAAATCTATATTTACAAGAATATACTCAATGTGAAACACCACAATATCATGTGAAAAATTATCATTACGGCGCATTTGTCAAATACCCCAAAATTTGAAAATTTTGACTGCTAATACGTAAATAGTAATTTTGGCCAAGATAGTCAATGCTTCCCAGGTTAAGGTGTGTCATTATAATAAATTTATATGTCTAATTAAATGCGTCAAAGAGTGGGAAGATGGGTTAGCCTGTGGGGAAAATGGGTTAGACGCATTGTTATTATAGATCGGAGTGGCAATAATTTTTTTTTTTGGGTTCAATATTAAAAAATCGATAATAAATTTTGTCCCCAAAACTTAAATTTGGGGACAAAAAAATTAGTTAAATTTGACAAACGCGCCGTAATGTTAAAAAATCAGCATAAATTATCACCATTTCGTTCGATGCTTCTTATATCTGCATGGGAGAGAATTCAGGGTGAAAGCGATATTTCCATATTTGATATAATGATTAGAGCATTGGCACGCCATATTTCAATGCTAAATACTGAAAATAAATAAGGGGCCACAATCTATTACTATTGAAGTTACCATAACAATTTCTGATACAGATCAAAATATTGATGACTCCATCGAACGAATTGTTATTATCTGAAGCGCTTACAGATGATGACTTTCAGAATAATAACGCTAAAAGTTCACATTCACTAATTATTTCTTCGCCGTTAAAGATCAAACCTGACTCATCTATCATATCCGAACTTCAAAAAGAAAAGTTCACATCACAAACATACGATACTCTCCCGAATAAATCCAAATTACTACATTGAACCTTTATTTGAATCGGCTTTCGATACTTCAAATATGACCAAATATTAAAGAACAACAGCAATACCCTTCATTTATAACTTTTCTTCAGCAATCTATATCAAGCTTGCTTTTTGGCCTTAAATTACCGTGTTTAACATTTTATTAATACTTTTAGTATTGTATTTATTGTATTTCCATTATTTGAAAATTTTGTTAGAAAAAGTTAGTAATTGGGTTAAAGGAGTTGCGGTTAATGGTATTAAAGAGGATAAATTTTAAGGAATGGATTTTACTTTAGATTTAATATTTATAATATTATTCTCCAGAATTATTTTCCCTTGCTTGCAATCAATAAAAGGTCATCTAAAAGTGGTCACTTTTAATTGTCAATATCATATAACAATGATAGTGCAAATAATCTCAAACTATTTATTATTAAAATTTTCAATTATTGCAGTTTGCAAAAAAATGTGAAATTTACAGATCAAAAAATAAAAGAAATCGATGATTGCCGATTCTTTAACATTCTAATATTGTAATGATATATATATATAGCAATAGAATCATGTAATAATTCTTATTGGCACAACTTTTAAATTTTCTTCTTACTTATCATGCAATAGTAAATTTTATCGGATTAGAAAAGAAATAAATTTAAAATTACACAATCAAGTTCTTTACAACATGATGAAGATGCAAATTATATTTCTATAAAAGATGCTAAATCAAAATATGTTACAAAATTATGAATCTACCACTTTTATTTCTGCAAAAAAATGTAAAAGAAATCGGCAATCAGAATCAAAAATCATTGATTTCTTTTTTTTTTTTTTCTGATTTTTGGAAAAAATAAATCATGCGCCTTTCAATTCCGACTTGCATGCCACAAGGTATTCAGAATTTATGTGATGAGTTGGACCAATCAAATCGTTAATAATGACCAAAAATAAGTTTGCATTTAGCCTTTAGTTGTAGTTTAAGCATAGAAACTATATGTGATAATTTTCATTACTGTATTATTTGTAAAGATTATTTTTATATATATATATTTGGTTAGCATGTAACATTTTAAAGTCATAAGTAAAAGATAACTTAAGAATCTTTTAACTTACATGCTATGGATTATAAATTATTAAACAAATTATCATAAAAAAATGTATAAAAATTTATTCATAAAGGCTTCCTTATACATAAATATTATAACATATATAAAAAAATCATACAATAGTCGTAAAATAAAAAAATAAATTTAAATATCAATATCAAGCTATATCGATAGTTATTCATTTTTCTTTATTCTTTTGTTTTATTTCTTTTGTCTTTTCTTCATACTTTTCTTTCTTGATTGAAATCAAATCTCCCAAAGCATATTGAGTAAATGAAGTTGCTGTAAGTAAAAAATTATCAGGTATATCTTCAAAATAATACGTAATTTAAATTTCTTATTAAAGATAAAGGTAGTATAAAGACGCATGCTTTTAGAAAATAAAAATTGATTGGCCATTTTAAAAGAATAATTAATATCTGTAAAATATTTGGTATATGAAATAATTAATGAAATTCCAAATATAAGATTTTTGAACTCAACAGGCCAATTAAAGCACGTACAACATGTGCAAAGAAGAAAAATTGATTGAAGTAATAAAAACGCAAATAATACAAAACTTATTAGATCAAAAGAATTTCTACTAATAACAATGATCCAAAAAATCGGAATAACAAATACTGGAAAAAAAGCTAGAAACCAAGCAGCAATGGTTATACTAACTGATCCACGATCTCCATAGAAATTTTTAAGGTCGCTCCAAAGCGTCAATCTCAATGTGATTAGCAAGTGATTGTAATAGCGCTCAGGCATAATTATATTTACAAAAAATTTTTGCTGAAAATTTGAATATGCAATTTATGACATGATTGTAATCTTCTCAAGCATCAATTTCAATGTGATTAGTGAGTGATCGTAATAGTTACGATCAATCAAAATAACCATTGAAGTCAATATTTGAGCAGTCCCCTATTGATTTCTATTATTTGTCAAATGTCA